AACATTCTTTTCAAGCGTAGACTTTATTCGAGTGTAATAATACGCAACAACAATTCGTATACAGCATTGGTTTTATTGAAGTTTTTAATGTTTTTCGGCTTCACAGTGAATTATTTTAGCATCATATTTGAAAATAGCGCGCTCGATACAAGATGTCGGACGGGAAAATTGGGGTCTGTAAAAATGTTTGTTGGTTCAGTCAGGCAATGTGTGGACCAAAACATCGCCCACTATTTGAAACATCGCCCATGGGCGGGGTTTAGGATGGGCGGGGTATCAGCCGAATCCGGTAGTAGTGATCAAAACATTTTCTACAACTTCACCATGCTCATTGATATGGTCTGCAATAGCACGGTACGTTATAGATGGTTGTAATCTTTTCAAAGTTTCGATCAACTCCAAGTCACCATCACCTAGCTCATGGTAAAAACCTCTGTTGCCCTTGCTTGATCTACAATGAACGGATCGCTGCCATATTTTACGAATGCCCCGATGTTTCAGCACCTCGTTTAAATTTTCTGCCCATGTTACTCACGTTACCGGCCAAGTTTAGTAGTTAACTGACGAGTTTGATGTGCTCAGAAGCAGTGGGCGTGGTTTAACATTTTGATTTTGGCGCGTCGATGTTTTTGTTTGACAAGTTAGCTGACAGCTAGTCAATTGATTGGGCCACGCGCACCGATGGCGGCGTCTTTTTTATTACGTTTTGAACACTTGCTTGACTTCCGCAGTATTTTCGTATATTAAATGTGATGGCAAGGGAAAAGAAACACCGGAAAAGACAAGTTTAAATCATGTTTGTATTGACACAACAAGAAAGCAACAGTCTACCAGTGAATGTGTATTTATCAATCATCAAACTAAACATTCAATGTTATATAGTATACTAGTAGTATATTTTATTTGACTCAAATTAATGAATTGGAAATACATTAACCATAGTAAATAATCATACACAAAAAAACACAATAACAAGAAATACAGATATAAAAAATAAAATAAAATGTTAAAACAGATAACACTAACAACTATTAGGTATTACATTGTAAAATTATGTTGATATACATGAAGCGGACTTTGGCGGTTATGTACTTTCGTTGTTCATTTCACAGCACGCAACCCTTGAACATTTTTGGATTGATCCATTGCACTGGATTGCTCTCTGTAGCCTGTGTTTCAAATCAATAGATGTCGATCAACTTTGAACTAGATATAATTTTGCGTCGCCACATTGAGATAGGGTCGCGTCAATGCAAAGGGTCGAGATGTCCAGGGTGTCTGTGTCGAGATGACCAATTTGGGACGAAGTGTCTTGGGTCGAGAAATGTTTGGGTCGAGATGTCTAGAAATCGGCGATTTCAATGATAGAGATTTAGAATACCAATACATGTCAAAACTCGCAACAAGAAAATATGCCGCTAAGACATCGGAGGCGAGGGCATATTTTTATTATTTCACATAGTTCCGATTGATCTAGCGGCCAGACTCGCTCGCAACTGCTACGTTAGTACGTCCATGGTTTTGTGTAGCCTCGTAGACATTCAAAATTTCGCTAGATTTCAACACATGTAACTTGAAAACAAGTGGCTAGGACATCGGACTTAATTTTATTTCACACAATGCCGATGTAGCTCGCACTCGCAACTACATACAAATCGCCACTAGCAACTGCTATTTTTAGCAGTTTATAAATAAATAAACGCTGCTCGGACTGATAAATATGATATATAGAAGATAATATTTGGTAATCGTAGTCCTAAATAACTATTAAAAATAGCGAGACGTTTCGAGCAATGGCTCTTTATCGATAGCATAAAAGAAAGTTAGCGCTAGCAACTGCCATTTTCGAGCGCTAGCAACTGCCACTTTCGAGCGCTCGCAACTGACACATTTTGCTACTTGCTACTCGCAACTCGCCACTCACAACTGGCGTATTTATGCACCCTTACATACCTCAATATTCACGTACATTTCTACTGAACTCTAATAACCAAGCGTTTGAGTTCACGCACTGATATTTAAATTCGGGCCACCCAGCTTGACGCAAATCAATATAGTTACTTGTCATGTGTTCAAAAAATCTTTCAACTCTCACAAATACCATGAACGCGAAGAGCTAACTGGGGGTTAACTGATAGAGAACGTCTTTTTTGGAGAAAAAACACGTCAGTACAAGATTATGTGTACAAGGTTAGCTTTATAGAACGTACATGACCGTTTAACTCTGTGTTTTTTAATAATCATGTCGCATGTGAAACGCAGGAGACATTTTAGTTCGCCCATTTCTTGTTTACCGACATTTTGTCTGGAATGCGATACAGACAAAGATTAAACATTACTGATAACAACCAAGAGGCTCGAACCAGGAAGGTTTGGATATTTAACATTCTTTTCAAGCGTAGACTTTATTCGAGTGTAATAATACGCAACAACAATTCGTATACAGCATTGGTTTTATTGAAGTTTTTAATGTTTTTCGGCTTCACAGTGAATTATTTTAGCATCATATTTGAAAATAGCGCGCTCGATACAAGATGTCGGACGGGAAAATTGGGGTCTGTAAAAATGTTTGTTGGTTCAGTCAGGCAATGTGTGGACCAAAACATCGCCCACTATTTGAAACATCGCCCATGGGCGGGGTTTAGGATGGGCGGGGTATCAGCCGAATCCGGTAGTAGTGATCAAAACATTTTCTACAACTTCACCATGCTCATTGATATGGTCTGCAATAGCACGGTACGTTATAGATGGTTGTAATCTTTTCAAAGTTTCGATCAACTCCAAGTCACCATCACCTAGCTCATGGTA